AAGGATACTTTAATATATTTCAAACATACTTACATTTGTGAAAGTACACTTTTAGTACACTAAGTATTAAGTGTATTACCTATAAATATATCTGAAGTATACAAAACGTATACTTGTACCAATTTTGAAATTAGAACTTTAAACACATTTAAACATAATTGTACCAAAATACACTTTTAATATATTAAATAAAAGTATACTTTAAGTGAACAAAATATATATTTGCCCAAGTCTAAATATACACTTGCTCAAGTATATTTAAAATATATTTTGTGTATATTTTAAAATATATGCTCAAAATAGAATTTTTTTTAAATTCACTTAACACTACTTGAAATTATTAATTTCAGTATGTTTTAAATTACATCTCAGTGTAAATTTCAGGCTAATAAAGTATGCCTTTTTTTTTATTTTCTTTATTTAACCGGGTGAACCCCGTTGAGATCCAGATCTCATTTTTAAGAGGGACCTGGGCAGAAGTCTGCAACACGCAACAACCTGATCACAAAATAAACCTAATTGATACATATGCAGAAGTATGTCTTTTAGGCTCCTATAAAGTACTCTTCATGTAAATTTTAGGCATACTTTTTAAGCACCTAAAAAGTATGTCTTTTTAGGTGCCTTAATAATCTTTTACTATTTTTGTTAAAATTACAAAGAATAAAGAAAATGATAATCATGATGTAATGTTGTTTAAGAAAGTACCCAATCCATTTTCAGATATGATGTAAGATCTATAATCAACGGCATTAGTTCCAGTTCACACTCCAGACCAGATGGTTGTGGTATTGCACACTTTCATTTTTGTCAAAAACTGCCATAAAGAGAAGAAAAAACTTGAATGCAGGGAACAGACGCTGTTCAAATTCACCATGTTTACTCGTATAATATTGCCTTAAAAGTAGAGAGGGCCTTAACAATAGTTACTAATTTTGGTAAATTCAAGCTGGTGACGTCCTAGTCCGAGTGAGGATCAACGGCAGAACATTCCCATTCACTGCACCACTGCACCTTACAGAAACCTACAAAAAAGCACAATAGAGCAATTAAACAGAGAAAGCATTTGTATTTTAAAGAGAACAGAAAAATGGCAAATAAAAAAATAATACTTACAATTTCAAGACATTGTGGACTCGCCAAGTATGTGACATCATCAGAACTGACGATGACTGGGACCGGATGCCTGGGGTGGAAAAACATTTCTGGGTTTCTTCTTTGCCTGTTTATGTTAGAAGTAGAAAAAAACAGTCAGCAATGTCATAGAATCAGCTGATGCTGGCATTAACTATGAAGCTGTTTTAAGTGTGGACTTAAGGAGACAAACTACCTTAAAATCTTTCCATCCATGATCTGAACAGGCTGATCCCTGCAGGGTGGTGAGGGGGGCTGGTGGTGCCCATCTCCAGCAGCCATCAGATGAGAGGCAGGGTTCACCATGGACAGGTCACCAGTCCATCACAGGGCCCTGAAAGCTTACAATGAATAAAATGTATGAAAGATAAATGTTAGATTAACAAGGAGAAAAATTTTTTTTCCAGTTACCTTCAAATCAAATCATGTTTATTAAGCACTTGATGTTGGTAACACAGCAGTTATTGTTGTTGAAACTGTAGCTAGCTCCTCATTGAAAAAACAAACTTACATCATGAAGACATGTGGAGGTTCATCCTCAGAGCTGGTTGGTGATCTGGTGGAGCAGAGCTGCTTCTGAGACAGAAAGTCTTTAGGTTTCTAACTCCTGATCTCTCTGCTTCATTTGCTTAGACTGCAAACACATGTTGAAGATAAAAACATTGATGAACGAGTTATGACAAGAACCTCACAATATCAAAGTCTCTCTGTCTTATGGAGCTTAATTAAAACCAGGTTCAGTTTATGAATAAAAGTATGTCGCAACAAACAGCCTCCATGCAGTTATAACGTGAAGCTGAATGATTGCTATAGTAATAATCATACAAGTCACAATAAAATTGATAAAATAATTATTTATGAAACCAACGTAAGTTATATATCTTTACTGCACTGTTTATAATTAAACGAAGATAATTAATAAGCAAACTTACCGCTAGCTAGCAACACGTTAGCAGCCTTTCATGCGTGTCCTTTCATGACACGCATTTCATTTCCATCGGTTGTTGTCCAGTTGTGTTGTCGTCTAACTCATGTTATGTCATGTAACAGTGTCATGAAGTGTTATTCAGTAAATAATGACAATTTTAATGAGAATTTGCTTTAAAAGTTGGATGAAAGGTTTTATGCTATGTTTATGACAGTCACAATAAAATTGATTGATGTTTTATTTAACACATCAAATAAAGTGTTACCAAAACGGTAATGTATAGAAAGCACAATGTAATTATAATTTTTGTTCTTTAAAATAATAACTTTCATGTTTTTTGTCACACTTAAATTTTCACGTTCATTGTGTTAAATTTTAATATGTAAACTGATAATTTATGTAAAGTTCATAAAGTTGTGAGTAAAATTGGACAATTTTAAAATGTCGGTAATAAAACAAAATATTTGAATTACGTTGAACATCTTGTGTAATTAATCTTTCCGTGTAATTGTAGCCTAGAACAATGTAAGTACTGTAGTGTAGTTATGCATGTAATGTACAAAATAGGAAAGTAGGAATTTCATGAGTAATTAAAATTGTACTTTATTAGCAATAGCAGTAAATCTAAACAAAAAATTAAGTGTAATTTAAATACATTACTAATATAATAGTAGTATATTTAAAATATATTTAAAGTATATTAAAAGTATATTTTTAATATAATTCTATGACAGAATTAGTACGCTCAAAATATGGAATATTTTGGAATATTTCTCTTGAATACTACATGAAAAAGTATACTTAGTACTACTTGGAAGTTGTATCAAAAAAGTATGTTGAAGTATACTAACTATACTAAAAGTTGTAATTTTATACTATTTAATTACTACTAAAGCATACTTTTTTTTTTTTACTTGGGCTATCATTCAGAATAGTATGTCTGTATGCTTTGTGTGTATGCGTGTGTGTGTGATATTTTAGTAGTGTATATGTGCAATCTTAGTCTTATGTATATGTGTGAGAAAGAAAAATTATATGCAGGTGTGATATTTTAATAGTATATCTGTGCAATTTTAATATTTTGTGTGTGGATATGAGTCTATAGTAGTGTTTGAGAGACAAAACATAGTTTTTGTCCTAGATGGCCCCTCATAGTTTCAAACTGATCATATAGACGCATCAGTCAAATGTGACTTTTTTAAAGGTGACATTATTAACCCAGTTGCAGTCAAAAGGTGACTATCAACAGTTCATATTTTTATAACATGCATTTCTTTTATAAATGTATCACACCTTTCGGTTTTGCAGGATTGCTTTTTAAGAAAATTTATTCTCTTTCATTTCTGATCTGAATTTGACAAATTTCTGAAATGTGTTTGGTTTCATTTGACGTATTCCAGGCCCTCATTTTGCTGCTGTCAACAATAACAACGAAATTGTTGTGACTGATTTTCACAATCACTCAGTCAAGGTGAGTGCATTGACATACTTACTTGATTGTACAACAAAATAGCATTATATGCCTGGAAAACACATTATACTGCCTCTGTAAAGGGGAAAACAAGGTTTTTCACTTTTCAGGGGTTTTAAAGACGTTTCTCAATTTTATCTGCAAAAACCTCTTCAGTGCTGAATTAAGCCACATGATTAATGAGATAATTTAATGACACTTGTTACATCAGGGACCATGTTTATTCTGTTTCTTGTTAAATGTAGGTCTTTAACACAGAAGGGGAGTTCCTGCTGAAGTTTGGTTCTAACGGCGAAGGTAACGGCCAGTTCAATGCCCCCACTGGCGTGGCAGTGGACATCAATGGGAATATTATTGTAGCGGACTGGGGCAACAGCAGGATACAGGTCAGCAAACCATTTAACTTCTTAAACAATGCACAATGAATTTTGATTTCTTATTTACAGCTCTCTCAACACCGTACTATAAGTCTTGCTAAAAATGTATAAAAGAATTAAAACAAATTCATATTTTTCCTCATCCAGATCTGTTTGCCACACATCTTTAAAGCATTTTTAATTATTCTTCTTGCTGTGTATATCAACAGAAATGAGTAGCTATTTTCTTGCAGTCAAAGCCTGACTTTTATCAACACACATTCCACTAGACGGAATGTCATGAACACTTGTCTTTCCCATTTTGATGAGAAGCTTGCCCTTTTTTTCCATGTCATGTGATCTATGTCATGGTACAACAGAAAGGGGCTTTGTTTCAACATCAGTCCCAAGCAACAGGTTGCAGGTATGTTGTTGCTCTGGAGATTTGGCAGTGACCTTTTAAGATTTCCATACCTCTTGTATCATCCTCCTCACTGTACATGGTGGCGGCATGAGTTGGAGTCCTCGTTCGGCCATGTTTGCCACAGTTTTCCATTCATCTTTGACTGTAAATATGAGTAGTCTTATACAAGTAGCTTTTTCTCAGTGGTGTGTTCGTTTGTCTTTCCCATAGTAGGAAATTGAAACAAAATAACAAGACAGAAAGATGAAGCATATTCATGCAAAAAATGTTAGAAACAAAGGTAAAATAATATTTACAAATAGATGAAGGCAATACTTTCCTTACTGATGCTGTTTGTGTCGTGTTTTTCTGTGTTTGAGTTGGTAGTAATGCTTGTATACTTAACTAGTAGTCAGGGTCTACAGTGTCTTCCATTGATATTTTGTCTGTTGGAAGCTAGCAGGTTTAAAAACCAGTGTTCTAATCAATGTGGGAAAAAATGAACGATACAGTTAAATCCTTGGAACAAGAACTGTATTGAGCTAATAATAATGCCTCTTCTGGGGCTTCATGTATAAAGCGTGCATACGCACACAAAATATGCGGTGCCATATTTTACGCACAAGTCGGCATGTATAAAAATGAACTTGGCGTGAAAATGTGAGTAAATATATGCAGACTTTTGAGCTGCTGTGAAAATGTGCAGCAGCCACGCAAACTTTTTATGTGGACAATTTTAAACTACAAAGCGCAAAAACTCACCTAAATCCACTGAAATCCGATTTCATTCAATATTTTTTAGACCAAGAAGCATCAAACCCGATGTTTTTTCATGATTTTAATATTTTATTGTTTAAACGTAAAACAATGAAACTGAACCACATTTATCCTCAGAGAACACTATAACAGGCACACAAAATAAAGAAAATAAAAATAAAATATTGTGAAAACCTCACTCGAATGTAAATAATAATTTTCCTCAGTTTGATGCATCTGTAGGGTAATGTCATTCTCACTGAAAAAGAAAAAGCAGGGTTGGATCAGCAGATTGTTTGATTGTTTCTAAGAAAAGTCAACCAGCAAAATGGTTCTAAACATGATGTAAGTCATGAATGGAGGGGTACTGATGCTGCGTTTCTTTCGCAGGTGTTTGATGCCAGTGGTTCCTTCCTCTCCTACATCAACACGTCGGCAGACCCGCTCTACGGCCCACAGGGACTGGCACTCACCTCTGACGGACATGTGGTGGTCGCAGATTCTGGCAACCACTGCTTCAAAGTCTACCGCTATCTGCAGTAGCTCACCTTTCTACACCTGCTTACTACCAGGAAATAGTAGACTGGAAAGACTGGAACACTCTGCATTCATCAACTCATCCATTCATTCTTTCCACTGTGCCATCTGTTAGGCTTTTTTCTTGATTCTGAAGCAATAACTCATCACAGGTAGTTGTTGCTGGTTAGTGTTTTGAAGAAGTTGATCACGACTTTCACAAGACATTTGGAGTGTGCTAACATGAAGCTTTAATAGCGATACACCCAGAACTTGTCAACAGATTTTAGGAAACTGGAAACAAACTGCTGCACTGGTTTTGAAAATGACTTGCTTGTTAAGTGAGAATAAGATGTGTATATTAAACTACAGTTTAGGTACCTCAGAAATATACAGATATTATTGCACTTTTCTGATAAAATGCCCTTAATATGCCTCACAATTTGCCTGTTCACTCTCAGAATAAAAAAATTAGTGTAGGATGATTTGAAGCATGACCACACAATACTATGCATGCTGTTTTTAGCAAACATCTTATCTACTACAGTGTACTGCATTGAAACTACAGAGTTCAGTATCACAAGCTTATCACTTAAAATGCCTCCACAGTTTCAGTTTTTCAATATTTCCATCAAAAAACAGCTATTTGGTTCTGTTATAATTTTAAGAAGAACTGATTTCTTGATTGGTTTGAAGAAAACGAAATGGATGCATTTACATCACAAACATGGGCCACCTGATATTGACCTGAGTGGATCGCAACGAGTGACATGAATAAATATTTCAATTACATAATTAAAATTAATTTGGATATACAGATGATAAATAAATGTATCCTGGATTATTTGTGTCAATATTTATTTAAAATATAATGGTTTAATTGTGAAATTTCTTTAATCTTAAAGTGTTATATTTTAAGATCCATTAAAATTATTTTGATATTTATTTAATTAATTTGTTCTCCATATATTGTATGAGGGTCCAAAATGCCACAAGCCTACTCTAATAAGTTCATTCAATATTTCAAAAGGTATTTATTATACAAGTGTAGTATATTATTAATTGTACAAGTCAATAAAAGTGTACATTTTAAAATAAAACTTGAATCATTATGAAATTAAAGTCCGTTGGAAAATATTAGCCTACTGTCACTTTGGTTCATACCACAAGTGATATTATATGATATTCTACAACAGAATGGAGACAGTTTTATTTTTATTATGATCACTTATAAATATTCCACAACTTGTTTATTGAACATTTGGCCCTCAATAGTGCAGCAATTAACCATGAAATAACTTAGACAGTCAGGCAACAAATGTGTTATTTTTTAAAATAAATATTTTAGCATCATATTTCATAATTATCCATAGATTGCTTCAAAATAAACTGACACATCTAAATATTCATGTTTTATTTAACTGTTTGTTTGTGATAGTGTTTGGATCTCCATAGGCATCAGCTGTGCATACATGTGTATATGATGTGCCTGAGATTCAGATGTGCAGAAATCCTGTTTGAAAACTTTGGCCATTTTGGGGAAATATGGCTTTAATTTTGCATCACTGGTTCCAGAACTGCTAAGCTTTAATAACCCTCACTTATCCTAATATGCTATTATGTCTTTTCAATATCTCTGCAATTGCTAGTTACAGGTTGGTGGTTATCTTGCAGATCTAGAAGATGTGATATGTATATAAACATTTGGTGCATATGATGTAAAATAGGATCCACTTTTGTTTTAAGGCCTTTACCATAAACAATCTTGAAACACACAACTGGTATTTGTCTTCATGAGGTCAGTCATTCAATTTCTACACAAGACTGTAAAGTAGTTTATTTACTTTTTTTTTTTGTCTTGTATATAGTTGTAATTCCAAATTGAATTAAAGAGCCAACGGGGAAAAATGTTTGGGTTCATGGGGGAGAACGCGTGTAAGGAGAAAAAAATTGTAATTTAAAGAAAAATTAGTTTTATATTGCGATGTTGCTACTATAATGCAGAAGAGGGCAGCACTAGAATAGATGATCAAGCTGATGCCTTCGAGGACGATTGGGGAAAAAATCTCTATGCAGATTACCTAGACATGTACTACCACTTTTTACTAGTTAAAATAGTTACTTTCAGTTTCCCTTATGATCCTCAGTCACTTCATTTTAGCAAAAATGTCCAGTTTTCTTGCAACACATCTGTGTTAAATGGTAGTGGGAGAATTTACGAGTAGACTTGAATGCAGCATTCACCCCTGACACTGTCGCGGGAGATTCAGTAGCACCCAGGCGATGTTTTTGTAGTTTGGATTACAGATATACTGACAGTAGTATTTTGCGGTTAAACTACCCTAAACGTTGTTACCGGTGTAACTGGTGCAGTCCCGCCTGAAAATGGTAAGTAAATGTTTTCTTAGTTCGGAATTGATGATCAGCGGTTGAGGCATTCGTGTACCTAGCCAGCAACGAGTTCTTTTTCAAGCTAGTTTATAATGAAACGCCACCCGACTGTCTGCTGTTTACCAACTAAAACCCAGGAGATATCTTTCACAAACCTAATGGTGAGAATGACTGGTGGCTTTCTATTTTAAGGGGCTAAATCTAAAGTCAACGTTAAGTCCAAAAGAAAGTTGACGCCACATTCGTCATGTCGCCATCCATATTGAGAGAGGCAAATTCGCCACAAGGGGAAAAATTACATCAAGCTAAATCGTTATAGTTTGTTATTTATAGCACTAGTTATAGATGGTTAATAGAAAACCAAAAATGACTGCAAATCATTCTAAGACGAAACAGACACTAAATCCACTAAATTAAAATCAAGTATGCTTATATTTCAGTTTTACGTATTTTGGTGATTATTTAAACTGTAGATTAATTACACAGAAAGAAATTTGTTGGTGATTTATTGGTTTCTAATTTTTTGCGATCATCATTTGGATCTGTTGCAGTCAAAAAAGAAAGGACTCAGTTTGGAAGAGAAGAGAATTCGGATGATGGAGATTTTCTTTGAATCTGTAAGTTTTTCAGTTACTGGTGAATAAATGACTTTTTCATGGCATGAAAAATTCTACTGTGCCAGTCCAACTTCCAGTAGTTACACACTGAAGTAGAATGAGACCCTCTTCACTCTTTTGTTCGTAAATGCTGTAAAACATTCTGACGAAAATGCTTAAAGCCCTGAAATATTATATTGCCTTTCAGTCAGATTATTGTTAAAAATGATGATGATGGAGAGGTTGTCATATGCAGAGACAGGTCTCCTGATGGGGTGAGTATTCAGATATGATCTTATGATCTGTAGTGAGAGTAGGAAGCCGGTGGAAGAGCAGGGGTGTCCAAACTTTTTGCAAAGGGGGCCAGATTTGGTGTGTTAAAAATGTAGGGGGGCCGACCTTGGCAGACATTCTTTACATAGAACACCAATATATTTAAACAAATTTCAGCAAGCCATTCTGTGTTTTACATTTGCTTTTTTATTTTAATTTCAGCCATCTTAAGCATGTCTTTTGGTTCATTTGAAACATGTATATCATAGGCAATTGAATATTCACTTAACTTCACTTTTTTAACACTAACTTTTTTCTAACGGTTAAACAGAAGTAATTGTACTCTTGTGTGCAAATTACATTTGAAACATAAAAAATATCTCACCATGGTAGTTCAATATTTACAGAATTTTTAAATAAAATAACAGAAAAATGAGCAAGTAAGAGTCATATCAACAAGTGCAGGGCTCATTTGAAATATGACATATTAGTAAATGTTGATTAAATTTTTAAAAGTTTATTATTCTGGAGTGAAAACTGAAAACTTGTCTGAATAAATTTTGTTTAAGTTGACAGAAAATATTAAAGTATTACTGTGTAATTATATGTTACAGGAAAACATCTCCAGTGAAATGCTATTTAAACCTGCAACTAGCCTAAAAACAACAAATTTGCACTTCTGTTTAATCCAAATTAAGTCAGCAGCTCCATCAGGCCCCCAAGAGCTTTAGGGGCCCCATAAACGCTAATATTTTAAAACAGACCACAGATACATAAATGTAACACTTGTTTATTGAGATCATCAATGCTGTTAAATTTTATTCAATTGTTTAGCCGTACATAAATTAAATTATTTTAAATTGTTTAACATTTAAATACAAGATTTTAAGGAGCTGGCAAGTTTACTTTGTAAAACTTGACATAAAACTGATATGGTTTGATGCATCGTGTAACCGGAAAAATAATAATAAAATAATATAAAATCAGCGTGATGCGTGACTCCGAGGAGAGCATTAAAGCTCCTCACCGGGCTGAACCTGCATGATCAGGTTAGCGCTGCTCGTTATCCACAGATGGTCCGGCCAACCGGGACCACAGACATAAACTTTACAGGGAAGACAGACACAGAGCCACATGCTGGGCAGCGTGTTGAGATGTAAACGCCACATATAATTGTTCGTTCACAAAGATAAATCATTCTCACCGCTCCACAACGCGCACCTCTGAATTCGCTACAAGTTATACCTGCGGTTCACATTGAGCTGCGCAACCAGAGCTAACGTGGCGGGTTTTAAACTCTTACGTAGAGTTCTCCAAAGGATCATAATTCCTCACAGCAAGTTGATGTAAGTATCCATACAGGTCAGCCTGTGTCCAGTTTGAGTGAAAGGAGGCGCGCGTGATCCCGCTGAGGTAAAGCAGCGGCAGCGCGAGGCAAAGCGCAGAGGCAAAACGCAGAAGCGCCAGCTGTGTGATTAGTTCAGGCGCTGTTGACTTTAAATGCATAAAATATAAACCTATCTGTTATAAACCTATCCTTAAGGATAATTTTTTTTTTCTCCTTGAAATGTAAACAAGCAACGCTTAGCCTGGCGTTGAGGCTAGTAAAGCATGGCGGGCCGCCAGGCTTATAATACACTGGGGGAAACCCTGACTTGTCTGCATTAATGTGATACTGAGATCTGGACTGCAGCACATAGGCCAGGTCTGGTTCAAAGGCAGTGGTATTGATGCGCAAGATGTCTCGTAAGTGAGAGTCCGTTATTTAAGTTCACAACCAAGAATATCTTCTCACACAAATACGTCGACTAGGTTTGCAACCCGTCCCGTAAAATATGGAACCGTCCCGTATTTGGCTGTTAAATGTAGCGTCCCATATTGAACCTAAACGGGACGCGATTTGTTCCGTATTCTATAAATATAGACGGGACCAAAGAAGTGGTCCCCAAGTAGTTTATATAGTAGGCTGCCCCAGTCATTGTTTCACTCACGGTGTTGCGATATTGCGCCCAACTGCTTTCTGGCTAGCACAGACCAACCGACACGCTGCCGCCGCAGTCCCGCCCCCCCGGCTTTAAATATATAGGGACTTGGTAACTCTAGTCGAAGTGCAAGCGCGTGCACCCCCCCATGAGACTAGGACGATGCGTCCTTTATTTTGATTTCTGACAGGTGGCAACCCTAACGTCGACCCAAACAAGCTTAGCATTTTCTTACCAAACCGAATGTCTCGAAACCTGTGCTTATCCAGCTGTCGGTAAAAGTTCGCGAGAGAAAGCTGGTGGTGCCGACCGCGGCTCTTGCGTCACACTGCAGCTCAGTGAGCTCCAGCTGCAAATGGTCTGAGTCACACAGGCTGCTGCCCTCTAGTGGGTAAATGAGGAACAGCATTTAGTGTGTAAGCTATACCATATGCAGGTAACAGCACTGCTGCCCAATGTATTAATTCTACGTGCGGGCCAGACATTATTGATTTTATGACAGAGGCTGCGGGCCGGATGAAATTTGACCATGGGCCGCATTTGGCCCCCGGGCCGGACTTTAACATGTCTGGTCTAGAGAGAAGAGAAATGAAAGATCTTTTCAGTTTGTTGTATAACATGTGATTAAAAGCCTTACTATAGCATTCAGTCAACTGTGAGAAGGCTGGAACTGGTGGTAAAATGGTGATTTATTAAAGCCATCCTTGTATGTCATCAACCACCGTAAGAGCTAAACAAGAAAAATAAAAATTACAATTGTTTTCATCGTTCATGAAGCATAGCTCGTTACATTTATACAATTCCTTTCATTAGTCATTAATTAAGTAATCAAAATTAAAATATTTAAATAAACTTCAATCGCCGTTACCGTGTTCCCTTATTGACTGAAGCTAAATTTAAGTTGATTTTTATGTGTTTTTCTGCCTTGCTGTTAACCTTTTCCTTCACTGCAGTTTACCTTTTCCCATAGCACTCTTGGATACCTTATACAGAACTTTGCCAAAATAAAATCATAAAACTTTAATGGCAGTTACAAGAAACAAAGTAATTATATTCATTTGACCTTTACACTTATTGGGGCCTGCCATAGCAATGCATAGAGAGAGCAGTGACTCTCCCTATGTCACTGCTAACCCTAACCCTAATGCATGGCAGGCACCTATTGTTCTACACCCAATAGAATGTCCCTTTAACACTAATAGTGTTTCATTATTTCTTTATTATTATCAGTCAGAATGCATTACTGCATTCTCACTTATTAAGATCCTGCTCACATTTTTCGGTCGTTAGCTACTTCTGCTATCTTCAACTAATTGTACTAATTCATATATCAAAACATCCAGCTTCTTCAGGAGAATGGTGCTATGACTTTTGGTAAACTTCACTATTGTATTTTTTGAAATAATTGCCCTTTTGTGCAAATTTTTGCCCCATTGAAATACATGGTGGAATTCACTAACTGACGTCAGTAGACTCTTTGCACCTCAGCTTCCGCGTTCGGGGAAAAGCGGCTCGATTGTTTCCGATCCAATAAAAATATCATTTTACA